TTCTAGAGCTGTCAGAGGACTAAGTGAGTTCTAGAGCTGTCAGAGGACCAAGTGAGTTCTAGAGCTGTCAGAGGAGCGGGCCTGAGAGTACTACTGAAAATGAGTTATAGAGCTGTTGGAGGATCGGGCCCGCCAGTACTCCTTTCTGTGAGAACTCCAGAGTTTCCTTTATGTGAGATTGCACATTGGGGGGTTGGAGGAGCTTGATCAAATTGCACAGGTCCATGGCGGTTGGTGTTGAGGATGCGCCTTAGGCCTGCACCCCACAGCGTGGCGGGATGGAAACCGCACCAGGCCGCCAACCCCGGAACTCGCCCACCGCGGCGGTGTTTTCGTGCGCTGTCTGGTTTAGGTTCTTCCCGGGGCTAGGTACCACTTACACAAATTAAGCGATATTGACCGTAGATAACAAAGATCAACGGCCAGAATCTCTTAATCCGTGCAAGTGGGACCTTGCCCCCGAATAGGAAATTGTAGCCGTAGTCCTCCCGAAAAGGGATGCGGCCTAGTGGGGTGTAGAAGGCGGGTACGCTGTTGCGGGTTCCTGGTACAGGAATGTAGCCACAGCGGTTGACAAAAAGTGTGGGACAAGGGCAGGTGTGAGCGACAGAACCGCTATACCTCCGCATGGAAACGGCCAATTCCACAGTTCTGCGTTGCCGACCCCGTTCTGGCCCGCAACAGCAGGATTTGGGGCAGGACAGTTTTGGGGCTTGTGTTGTGGTGTTCTGTTGTGAGTTGGCTGTTGCTGGATTCCGTGGAGACGCCATTGGGGTGGAACGCTCTCCTTCCAGGGCTCCATCTCCAGTGTTGTCGGTCACCAGCTGCGGCGCGTGCGGGAGACGGGAACAGCAGGGGCAGGGGCCGCGATGGAAAATAGAGATGGCCATGGAGCTGACTGCAGGAATGTGATCAATGATTGGGACAACGCGGTGTTCCTGATGGTTATGGTTATCATCCAATGGATAAACCACCGGAACGTGGCTGCGTTGACGGCGGTGCAGGACGCAGCCGTCATACCTATGGGGGATGCCCGGGATTCCAGCCGTCTTGACATTGCTCTTTGGTTGGTTGTGGCAGAACCTCCAGGTGCTGCACGCTGCGTTGACTGCCGCTCATGAGAAGGGTGTACACTGTGAGAGGATCTGGGTGCTCGAGCGTAGTGGCGGGGTGTGGCGGGATCTGCAACGTGTCGGCCATCGGTACGTGTTGAAGCGTTTTTGCAGACTGCGGCGGCTTGTTTTTGAGGACATCCTTAGCCGGATTGCTCCTCACATCCAGCTGCAGATTACCAATTGATGATTGCCATTGCCAGTGGAGCAGAAGTTTGCCTGTGTTGATCCGATGGGCCACCGGTGGCTTGTACAGGCAGTCTAGCCATGCTCTGGGGATAGTCTCATGAATGCCCCCCGTAGCAATAGGGAAGTTGCAGAAGCCACAATCAAGGAGTTCGGACATGTTATCGCATTCCCTCCCGGTACTACCGGCTGGAAGTTGGAAGAGACTATGGATGTTTTCGAAAGGAAAGGTTTCCCTGGCTGTGTGGGCGCCATCGATTGCACCCACTTGTACATTGAGAACAATGAGAAGCCAAGGAAGGAGCGCATTGAGTGTTTCTACGACAGAACAGGACAGTTTTCCATTATTGCAGAAGTCGTGTGCGACCATGAGTGCAGAATTCTGGACGTTTAGGTCAGATGTCCAGGGTCCAACCACGAAGGTTTCCCGAAGGCGTTGCATTTGTCATTGATCATCCTGAGCTTGTTAGTGAGGTCACACCACTTCTTTCTGCAGTCCTCCCCCTTCCGCTCCCAACCTTCGTCCTCCATCCGTTTCGCCACCCATTCCAGCCGCTGAGACTTCTGGAGATGACGATGCCTCCCGGTAGCACTCGCCATCAAAGCGTCATCCTCCTTCATTATATTTGCCAGGGCGACGCGCTCCTCGAGCACCCATGGCTTCTGCTCCCTGCTCGCATTCGCGGGAGCGACGGGTGGGC